ATTTGGATGATCTGTAAGAGAAATACAGCTATAACTGGTATAAAAAGCTCAATAAAAATAAAGGAGGTAAAGAAATGAAGAAGAAGACTGTAAACCACATCTTCCTCTGCTTTGTTGTATCATCTCAGGGTCATTACAGGTGAATAGGCAAAGCAAATAATTCTCTTTTTTTAAACCTCATAAAGTCAATGCAAGCTCCCACACTGGCTACGAACTTCTGCAGAGCGAAATAGCAACTGTAATTTTTGTGTGCTCCAGTAGCAAATTTTGTGAACATTCGCAGGCAAACTGCTAGACCTGTGGTCAATCAAAATCCAAGCCATTGCTCTGGATCAATCGGCTCTCTGTTATTTGTCCCCTCCTTCTGCAAACTTGGAGTCAGCTGATAAAGCACTCTTTGAAATTTTCTGAAATATTGTATATTTATATATATATATATATTGTATATATATAGGAATTTCTGGGGATACAATTTGACCTCCTGGATCGTTAAGTGAAACTCCCCTAGGCTTACAACCATGACCAGGTCATCATCACATGAGGATGTAGTTGCCATGGTTTCTCCTTCTCTCTCTCCCTCTGTTTTCCCATGGTGAATTCCCACCACAGACCATACTTCTATGAGAATATGCCAATTTTATTTGTGTCACACCAGGTGTGTATAGGAAAAGGCGTAAGCGGGATACTTAACGTTTTCGCGCCGCTTCGCTAATTCGCCAGCGTGTAATGATTTACATTACATGCAACATGCACAATAAAGTCGAGCTAAGGTAAGGTGACCGGACGTCCCCGATTTCTAGGGACAGTCCCTGTTTTGGATGACCTATGCCCAGCTAAAGCTGTCCCCAGAAATGTCCCAAATTTTAGCGTGGACGAGAACAATGGTTATTAGAGTAGCCGGGTAGGTAGGAAACACAAGTGTAGCGCACCGCCCTGAACAATAGTTATTAACTGTTATCTAACTTGATTCGTCACTATTGTATAGACGACCCCAAACCCCAACCCCCTGTCTCCAAAAATGGAGGGCCAAAAATGATTTTTTTTTTCTGTTTCATTGTTTAGCTTTTTTCTCTACTCTGCTCTACTCTTTGTGGAGTCCAAATGTTGCTTGTGTTTTTGTACTTGTTAGGGCAATCAATGCTATTTGCTCCTCCAAAAGACAAAAGCAACTGAAAAACAATGGAAAGCTTTTATGAACAGCCACATTTTCTTTTTTTTTTTTTATCATGTTTTTATTATTCACATTATTTTTATTATGAACAGCCACATTTTCTGATTACAAAGCTGTGTAAAATGTAACACTCATAAACTCTGTAACTTGATAGGAATGAATAGGATGAATAATGCTGAAATGGGTATTTTAATGGACAGTAGTAAATGCTACTCTATTGGTGTACCACACTGAAAAATGCTATGACTGTCAAATTGCCAAAAAAAGGTCTGGCACTATCTTTTTCGTACAATTACCAATGGGACAATTCTAGTCTTAAAATTGCCTAAAAGGGGGGAAAAAAAGGCTAGATGTATCTTTAGTTTTTTAGTATTTGATGTCTTTATGAATAAGCCACAACATCATTAATTAACCTCCATCTCTCATAGTGTTTAGACGGAAGTTGAGAAGACAGAGTGGCTCGTTTTTCCCTCTCCAGCACTAATGGTGCTACTGGGTAATAGCCTCAAGAGATGCTACATTTCCTCCACTCAAGGAAGCAAACACACTCACACAGAGACACTGAGGTCCTGTTGGTCCAGTGAGAGATTCAGTCTCCTTCCCTAAATTTAGCTTGTCTCCATCAATTAGTCCCAGATTACAGAAACAGGCCAGTGGGGGCTTGTTAGGGGTCTAGCCTGGCCATTTCTGTCCTTTCACAGTGTGTTCATGCACTGTTAAGATCTGAGAAATTAGGGGGAGGAAGCAGGTTTGGTTGTTTAATTTGAAGACTTCTTGACAATAGACCCTTTACTGAAACTGTGTCAATATCCGCTTTAATTAAAAATGATGTTATCCCAGACTACATTTCTTAACACTAATTTGATAGAAAACAGTGAATGTTTTACGAGTTGAGTATGTCATATCTGGGTTCATTTAGCGAAACAGACACTATCACTTTCAGTGGGACTCAATAAAGTCTTGGGCGGCTGAGGGGAAATGCTTGGGGAGCTTGTAAAAGTGGGGTCCACAGGCCACACAGAAAGTAGGGATTTCAGGGGGATTTCCCTCCACTCCCTACCTCCATGACTGAGGTGATCAGTGGAGTCTGGACTGTGGGAAATATTTATTTATATTACTCAGGGAAACAGAGGGGCAGTTAATGGAGCAGACATCATATCTGGAACCTGATCAAATGAAATAATGATTTAGTTCCTGTTATGTTGCAGTTGGCCAATGTTTGCTTTGTGCTTTTAAGGTACTGGGATAGCAGGTTAAAAATATGTGCTGCTCTTCAAATTTTATCCTATCCGATTAATACTTTGCAATAGATTAAGGAAAAAAGCTGTTTCGGACACAGTTACTCTTAAAGTAAAAGAAAATCTACTATCCAACTTTTCATAATAAAATATTATGATGAATATTGCCAAGATTATGTTCAGAATAAGAAATGCTACTGTTTGACTCCAAATTACTGGTAGTGTAAACCTGGACTGTGTTAGACAATATTGATGTGCAGAAAACACATTTAATTAATAATCCAATTAGTGTCTGTTGATCTGAATTTTACAGTGTGACAGTTAAGAGTCTCTACTAAAAACCTTAGCTGAATTGCATAGACTGTAAGATTTAATTGAGTTATGCTTCATCCAATTTACAAGAATATTCTTTATGCTGAATTTATCTGCAGTCAATATTTATTTATGTAATGTTGCTGAACGTATCTGTTTAAAGATGCACGTTTGTGAGGTTAAAAATATACCACATCTGACTTAACCAAACATCGTGGGGCCATTGTTTCAGTAACTTCAGAGGCTAACGTTGTTGTTATGTAGCAGCTAGCTTATAGTAACGTTATCAGCAGTCAGAGTAAATTTAGCATCGCCATCTACTCACTTCTCTGGGTGCATCCTCGACAGATGTCTGTTGAAGTTCGACGTTGTTGCCATCTTCTCTTCAACAGTTCCTTTACACAATGGACACATTACTCTACATTTAACAGCGTTTGTGGTAAAATCTTTGAAAGCTACGTAACTGCACAAGCTGTAGGCATTCATGTTTTATGTGCTACTTTATTTTCAAATGATAATCAAAACAAAAGATAAACAAGCAATAGCACATCATATGAATGTAAGAAAGCTTTAACTGAGGCTTTGCTGAAACATTTTTAAACAAACAAAAGAATTAAATCATGTCCTGAATTAATATTTTAGCTGTAAAGTTGATCCTTTATTCATGTAAAATCTTTGAGATCCATGGATTTACATTTTTCCAACTTGAGTTCACAATACCTGGGTGAACTTGCAGTTCAGCCTATTTTCCTTTTTTAACTTCTTAACATAGTTTTGCTTCCTGAGTATGAAGGACCTGACATTAATGTCCCTAATTGGACCGCACTTCAGCATAGTTTCTGACTAGCTGTGAGATCCTTATGACTTTAATATATGCTGGTATGGCATCATAGTCTGCCCACAGGTACTCTGGGGACAGCACCTTGGTGGGTTTGTTGTACAGCAGATACCTGCAGGACAGAGAGACAGAGAGCTTTGTTGTTACCTCAATTTCTTTACACACCAAATTTAGTCACTCAGACAAGTGTGTGAAGTTGTATTTATTTATTTATTTTTTGATTAAAACAGTCCAAATGTGCTCAACAAATGTACAACAAAAGTTGTTGTAGTTTAATTTACTACCTTTAGAGATGAGAGTCTGCACTTTCACTAAATGTAACACTTTGCTCAAGAAAAAGGGTTTACATGTTAGCTTATGATATTGAGAAGTACAAGCATCCCAGATATTGTTTGTGGATATAAAATTTTTACAGCTTGAAGAAACTATTGTGTAGATTTGGGGAAGAAGTGAGAAAACACCAAAATGACTATGTAACTCCTATGTTATCACTGATTAATGGAAATGGGAATTTAAAAACTTTCCCTATTTTACAACCATCTCCAGTCTCCCCTACAGATTACAGTCTGTGCACGTAGGCTGGGACTGTGTGCCCACGAACAGACACATGGCTTTTTTTCCCCTTCTTCTGGCACCTGGAGGGCTCGATTTTCGTGCATTAGTAAAAAACAATGCTTTATTCTCACCAACAAGCCAACCACCTCTCATTGATCCATTCTCCAAAGGAGTGCAAACTGCACTGTGGTGCAGGATGAAGCCATGCCAGGCCACAGAGCCTCAGCCTTGAGTAACACACACTTCACAATGGGTATATTCATAACTTTTTTGTGATTATCATTAAACGTGCAGAAAACACACTAATTTAGTAGCTTTAGTAGACAAATCCTAATTTTGCACATCATTACAAATGGAGGGTGGCATTAAAGTGAAATACACTTATGAGTCAAGTTAATGAAGTGCTCTGCTGCTCCACCCTTGTACTGCCTTGCCCCAGTTTAGCTGCTTGTGTTGTCTTTTTTCAAGATTTCCACATATGTTATATTTGTTACTGTGATATTTCATGGTGAGGTGTGAATGTGAGTGTGGATGCTTGTTTGTCCTTATATGTCAGCCCTGCCATGAACTGGTGACTTGACCAGGGTGTCCCCTGCCTTTGCCTCAAGATGCTGGGATTTTTTGTAATTGTGAATTATTTATTTTACATCAATTACATTGCCCAGCTTTGGTTAAGTTTATTGTTTGAATATACAGTATATTTAAACAATCTCTCTCTCTCTCTCTTTCTCACCCACCCAGGCGGTATTGTGTCTCTTCAAGCTTGGGTCCTCTACCAGAGGCCTGGGAGCTTCAGGGTCCTGCACAGTATCCTTGCTGTTCCTAGGACTGCACTCTTCTGGAGCGAGATGTCTGATGTTTCCCCAGGGACCTGTTGGAGCCACTTCTCCAGTGTGGAAATTACTGCCCTGAGTGCCCAGATGACCACAGGCACCACTGTTGCCTCCACCTTCCAGGCCTCTCTAGCTCCTCTTTGAGCCCTTGGTACTTGTCTAGTTTCTCATGTTCCTTCTTCCTGACATTAGTATTGCTTGGGATGGCGACAGCTATCACAATGGCTTTCCTCTACTGTTTGTCTACGATTACAGTGTCTGGTTGGTTGGCCAATGCTATTTTGTCGGTCTGTATCTGGGAGTCCCATAGGGTCTTGGCTCGGTCACCTGGGGACTGGGGGTTTCCAGTCTATATTCTGCACAGATGTTCCTGTACACCAGGGGTTCCCAACCTTTTTTAAATCAAGATCTACTTTAAACATTTGAAGTCTGTTGCGATCTACTTTTATAAACACAGACATTCATAGTGCTTGCCAACATCCTATCAGTGACTGGTGCACCATCAGTTTTGATGGAGATCAGCTTAAAGAGGGACAGTTTGTTCGTTTTAACAAAGTCCATGAAAGTGGCACATCCACCACGTCAGTTGACTCGTCAAACTGGAGGGAGAAACACTCACATCCATCGATGTCCTTCTTCAGCTGTGTTTCAACATCCTCTGCCATTCCTTCGCACCGTCGTGTGACAGTATTCCGCGATAACTGCATGTCCTTGATAGTGGAGACGATCTCCATTTTGTTCTTAGTCACCAAAAAGTGTGTCCGCGGCTTCAATGAAGGCTTCCTTAACAACATTACCGTCCTTGAAAGACTTCTTGTGTTTAGCAAGCACGCAATAAACACGGTAAGATGCTATGGTAGCAGCCTTACCCTTGGTGTTGGGTCTGGTAAAAACAGACTGCTGGGCTGCAAGCTGCGTCTTCAACTCCCGCACTTTCTGCAAGCATAGCTCGAATTTAGCAGGGAAGTCTGTCTCATGTATTTTTTGTGCAGTGTCTTAAAATGCCTTTCCAGATTTCCCGTCTTTGGTATAGCCACGCTGGCTTTGCAGATGAGACAGATGGTCTTCGAGTTTGAGTGGACAAAAAAATAATCTTCTTTCCACTCTGGGAGAAAATTATAAGTTTTCGGTCTTTTTGCTCCGGCCATTTCTCTATCGCTGCTAGCTAAGTAAACAGCGGCTGCAGCACACACGTGTTGTGACCTGACCTTACAGCCGCAACGGAGAGGGGGCGTGGTACTGGCGTGGCACAGCCATGAGAAAAATAGCCAATTAACGTTACCAAAAAGTTGATCGGCTACAAGACTTTTTTTTTTAACGCAGTCAAGACTACTTTTTGCGATCGACTAAGAATAAGTCTGTGATCTACCTTTGGGCACCCCAGCTGTACACTATACCGGCTGGTTAGTTGTATGCTTCTCCTGTCAGCATCTTACATCCTGCTGTTAGGTGTTAGACTGTTTCAGCACCCTATTTGCATCGCCTGCACCTGGAATCTTAAGAATAAGAATACATTTATTATTCCCCGATGGAAAATTCAATTGTCTGTCATCTCATATGTCATGTCTCTAAAAGTCATCTACTATTTACAGAAGAGTTGTAAAGTCTGATGGCTGTTGGTACAAAAGATCCTCTGAATCTTTCTGTCCTGCAGCAAAGAGAGAGGAGCCGTCCACCACCATTGGCCCTTTGTTCTATTAAGGTGTTGTGAAGTGGGTGATCCATGTTCTCTAGAATCCACTGAGTCCAGCTTGAGTCCAACCACAGGGCCAGCCTTTTCCACCAACAGAACACTTGCCACCACAGAGTGATAAAACATCTGCGGAAGTCTACGTTCTCCTTTGTCTTTGAGGTGTTGAGGAAAAGGCAGTTTTTTTGTGATATATATATATATATATATATATATATATATATACATATATATATATATATATATATATATATACGACTGGTCAAAAGTTTTAGAACACCCCAACTTTTCCAGAAATTGATTGAAAATGATGCAGTTTAATGAGTCAGTGTACTCTGAAATTAATGCATAGAACAAATAAACAATTGAAGTTAAAAAAGAAATCATAAAATCAATTTAGAAACGACAATGTGTTCTAATTTTTTTTCTTTTTTAAGTTTACCATCTTGTTCTTTTTTCTTAAGGTAGTTCTGGCACAGCTTGGACTTATGTTTTGGATCATTATCTTGCTGTAGGATTTACTCATGACCAACTAGGTGCATCCCAGAGGGTATTGCATGGCGCTGCAGAATGCTGTGTTAGCCATTTTGGTTCAGGGTGCTTTTCACTCTGTACAAGTCACTGAACCTGGATCCAGCAAAACAGCCCCAGACCATCACTCCTCCATGTTTGACAGTTGATGTCCACACTGAGGAACCATCCTGTCACCCACTCAAGGGCATACAAAAATCCTGCATGATGAACCAAAGATTTCAAATTTTGATTTATCAGTCCATAACACCTTCTTCCAGTCTTACCAATAAGGATTTCTTTAAATTCCTGCAGGTTTAGAACTTTATCTTGTTTAACTAGAAAGAGGTCACTGGAGGCCTGGCTATTTCTCCTATAGAATCTCTATTGGTAAATAATATGCAACTCAAATTTTTCACTAAGAAGCTTTACAAGATCCTCTGTAACCTTAATGTGGATAACTCAGGTAAAGTAAGAGGCAGATAGGAATCTGATTTGGGTGCAATAGAGTCTGGGGCCTGGAACACGCTGTGCAGCCAACCCTCCAGGGTTTTGGTGTCTGATTCAGCATGGGAGAGGCAATTCAAGGTTTTGCATAGGCTCTATATTACTCCTGAAGTCAGACACAGAATGAATCCTAATCTGTTTGAGCTCTGCTCTAAATGTCAATCCAATGTTGGTTCTTTTATTCACTGTTTATGGACCTGTCCTCATATCCAACAGTTTTGGACTATAATTGCTCAACAATTCAATTTAATTTTTGAGCGGCATCTACATCTGAGGGCTAGGACGTGCCTGCTAGGACTAGAGGATGAGTTGCCTTCAGATACTCGCAACAGAGACCTTCTGCACATTCCTCTGCACTGTGCCCAGAAATGTATCATGGCCTTATGTATCACTGATAAAGCTCCCACTTTCAATCAGTGGAAACAAACTGTGACTAGTATTATTCCATTTTAAGCCTTCTCAACAGCATTGACAGACAAACCCTTTCTATTCCATCGGACCTGGGATCCATTTCTGGACTACCTAGGTACCACTGCATCTCGTAGGATGAAGTCAGTGCTTGTAGATCTGGCCGGGAAAAGGATGCCGAGCAATAGTGTGGTACACTATTAAATTTGAATATGTTATTCTGTCCTCTTTTAACTCCCTGAAAATGTGTCTCTATTATTATCATCTCTTTGACTTACTTTTACGGTTATTTTAACTAACTTATTTTTTTAATGCATTAATTTATTGTATTTTATTTATCTTCCCCTGTCAGGCTTAAGTGTCTGTATTCTGTGCACTGTTGCTAGTGCTATGTTTTAAGTTTTCTCTGTTGTAACTGCTTTGCAAGAAAAAGTTTGATAAAAACATGTCAAGAAAAAAAAAAAAGATGTTTTGTGTGGACCCCACACTGCAGTAATGGCAGCTTTTTAACTTCAGTTACTTTGTCAGATTGGGTCTATAGATTAGCATGGAGCACACAGGGCTGCACCAGCCAGTGCTGATCACAGGGAGAAAGAAACAGGAGAGCTACAGCTTTGACGATGCAGAAGAAGCTTGCTGTTCAGCCAGAATAAGAAAGGAGATTAAGTGCCTCAGTCTGACTCAGTACCCTGAAGAAGACCTGTCAGTCTCCCAGATCCATTCTGATGGCGGTCCAGGCTGATGCTGCAACATTCAACCAGGCAAATAGGCAGTGTGACTGTTATGGTTGGAGTCTATAATTACAGGATCACTAAAACAGGCTATAGTCCTGTTGTACAACTTGTCTAGAACTTACACTTTGAGATGGAATCCATGTGCAATTCTGGGAGACAAGTCAGTTTAAGCATGGGGTATGTACTTTGGACAAAATGCTCTCCCTCCTCTTCAAGAAGCCAAGGGTTGTCATTACACCATGGGCTCTATTTTCGTTCGCGCCGGTGAGGCGGCGGAGGGCGGCGAGCCCCGCGCAGTTGTATTTTCGTCTGGCGGAGCCCGGCGTAAGGCGAGTTTGGTATTTTCGTGGACTGAGTCGCACGGAGGCGAGCCGAGATCCGCCAAGCTGGGCGTGGTGGCGTGGCAGGGGGAGGTGTTGACAGAATCAGCTGGCGCAGTGACATTTTCGTGCTCGCCACCGGCGTGTAACGTGCGCTGAAAGCTCACCGATTCAAACCTGGTCAGCTTTCAGCGCAAGGCGGAACGCAGCTGGTCCAGTAGTATTTTGGTAGACCGGCGGCGTATCGACATACGTCACTGATGCCTCACCGGCAGGTTTCCACAGTGTCAGGCAGATTTCAGTGCAATAAATAATCATCAACAACTATTAATCTGAGTCAGCACATACATTTAGATCTATATCGATATATTCTGATCTATATCTGATCTGATGAGCGCGTTTGGCACGCGTTTGGGCACACAACCTGACCGAATCAATACAGCTGAAACTGCATCAAATTAAATTAAATAACCTGACCGAATCAATACAGCTGAAACTGCATCAAATTAAATTAAATATCTAGTAAATAAACACACATGATGAAGTTAACAAGATATGTAATGTGTCTCCCTCCTTTTCTTTCTTCCTCTTATTTCTCGCACAGCTCGACCTGGACACGTCTCCGTGTCCTCTGTCCGTCTTGCTTGCTGCTGCGGCTGAACAGATGATTTGTTTCAGTGCTCAGATGCGTTATCTACTTTAAGCCGACATACGGATATTATAATATTCAGTTTTGTGGGCCAAATTTATTTTATATGCCAACATCTATGAAAGAAAGAGCCAGGCCACGGAGCGCGATGTGTCATTTACGCACAGATGGTTACGATTTTAATGCCATTTTTGGAGTTTATGTTGTGATCTGTGCGCTAAACCCACCTTTGTCACGTGAGGTTTGAATATATGCAACTTTATGTGAGTGTCTTTATTTGTGGAAAAGGATGTTTGTCTTACCAGTGGGTCCAACATTACACACACCAAATCCATCTGTGCTCAGATGAGAGAGTGTGGAGGACACTTGTTGAGGAGCTGCCCTCTGTCGCCATCTTGTGGCATAACTGTCTTCAGACATCTCTCGATCTCTTTGACTACTTCATGAAAATAGTAATACGCCTCGCCGGTGGCGGATTTAAAGGCAAGGAGAGGAGCTTATGTGATTGGTGAAAACAGGTCTCGGCTGTGTTAAAATCTACTACACGCCCTTTCTCCTCCCCGTCTACGACTTATGCTGCTGGGAGGAGCTAAGTTAGGGAGGGGGGATACTTACGCCGGGCTGCGCGGCTCACCAAAATACCAAAATGTGCTTGGGAACGCCTTGTCAGCGCGGCGGATCTGACTGACGCTGCGCTTGCGGCAGATCTCCGGCGAGGCACCAAAATAGAGCCCCATGTGTTGAAATCATACTGTCAGTATAAAGTGTGTATGCAGTGTGCTGTTGCCAAGTTCACATTTCATAGAGAGATTAAATTCTGTCAAAAACACAATCCAGAGCAATGAAAAGCATCCATCTAAGTGGCCTGAATCTGAATTCCTCCATCATCACTTATCTCGATAACTGACATCATATCTGAACCAGTGTGTGCTGAGTGATGCTCGTCTTACTCCTCTTGGCCAGCTGAGAAGTTTAAGTGTGTGTGGGTGATGATAAATTATTTCTTGTGGTCTTTTTAAAGCTTTGGTTAACCTGAAGTTTAGAATTTTTTGCTGTCCAGTTCCTGTTAAAAATGTCCCTTTGATGGGGCGCACAGATCAGTGTTCCCAATCTCGTGACTTTGTCACTACATTTAGCAACTTTTCAGACCCCTCTAGCAAGTTATTTTCAAAAAAGTGCCTAGCCACAAATCTAGCAACTTTTTCTGGAGTTTAGAGACTCTGACATAAAACCAGGTATTGATGTTACTCTTCACAACAGGTAGCCGGTGCTCATCAAAAGCACACACATACAGACACCCGAGGAAGACTCCACAGTTTGAGCAAATTAGGCGATGATGTCATCTAGCGACTTCTACAATAGCCACTAGCTACTTCCTTACTGATGAGTTGGCAACACTGGCACGGACGACAGACAGCCAAGGGGGTTTGGGCATCCCACACATGGGTCCCTTCAGGGGTCGTGGGTTCGAGTCCATGAGCTGCATGTCCTCCCCCCTCTCTCTCTATTTTCCTATATTTCACACTGTCCTATCTATTAAGGCAAAATTGATTGCCAATGCAGTGCAGATGTGGAGTCTCTCTCAGCTTCAGTGACCGGGGGGAGGGGGAGTGCTCTTAAAGACAGTCAAGCCAGACCAGGGACACAAAGAAAACAGGAAGTTCTTCCAAAATAAGATGGAGGCGTTTCACCACAGAATGCCCCTGCAAGACCATCAAAAGAAAACCAGACAATCAGGAAATTGACTTTTTATTATGCATGGTTGTTCTAATGCACTGCCTAACAAAGGAATGACCAGCGCACAGTCAGCAGAGGCTTTGCTCATAAATTTTTCTGAAAAAAACAAAAAACCAAACAAACGACAGGGAGTGAAATTACAGACAGTTTAAAAACCACAAGGTGTGTCTTTTCTGATTAAAGTCTGAGTACTTCCTCAAGAGTTACCTTTCCTGGAATCTTCCAG